TGCGGGGGCGGGGTTGCGGGGCCGGTGGCGGGCCTGCGGGGTTAGGCGGCGGGGTACCCGGGGCTGGGCGACGGCGGGGGTCGTCCGGCGGTGGAGGGGTTGGATGAACCCCGCGGCGGGGGTCCGGGGTCCGCAGCCTAACACCGGCTTTGCCCCCGGGGTTCCCCGCTCGACAACGCTGATTACAGGTATGAAGTTGTGTACCACTCACTCTTCGCAGGATGCAAAAAAGAGTGTGGTTCTCAACCGCACTTGACGCTTGTCTAGCGTCGAGAGATTAACCCCTCAAGGCACGTGTCAGTCGACACTTGAGTGTCGAATGTGACTCTCGAGATTAGTAAGGACCGCATGATTATGGATACTACATAGTACGTCATCGTTGCGACCACTCGCGTAAGCATGCATTGCTAATTGGTATGGGAAGACTCTGCGTTCACGTGGTTTTTTACTAAGTCTCACGCTCATCGTTTATCCGATTTCCACGTTGGAAGATTATGAGAAGGATACAAAAAGGGACTGAGAGTGTTGTTATGTTGTTTGTTTTGTGTCGATATGTATGTGGCTGACGTTTTAGGAATCAGGTATTGTCCCATAAGTTTGAGTGGCTTGGTTGCCTTGTTTATTTTGAGTTTTTCTCAGTTTCTTTTGATTTTGAACGAGGGGGTCTGAGCATGTTCCATAAGTTTGGGTGGCTGAACCCCTTCTTGTTTTATTGAAGGGAACGAATCAGGCAGAGGACCAGACATGTTTCATAAGTTTGGGTGGTCTTGGTCAATGTCACGCACATGTTGGAACCAAAATGTTATAACTTAGCTATATTTTATTACTATCCTACTTATGAACAGGCTAGTCAGACAGTGTTCCATAAGTTTGGGTGGTCTGACTATAGCTTATCACAAACTAAAGAGAGTATTAACTAAGATTAAACTTGTGATAAGAAGGGGCAGGTTAAACCTCGAGCCAAAGATGATATGTTCATTCATATGTTACCTTAAAAGATTAAATGCAGATAATGATATAAAACTTGGATATTTAAACTGTTCAGAGCGACTAGGGCGGCCTAGTCATATGCTCTAAGAAGAGAAAAGTTGTTGTGTCGTGTTTGTGTAGATTCAATGATTGAGCTAGACATGTTTCATAAGTTTGGGTGGTCTAGCTTTATGCCTTATGTAAGCTGGGTATAAAGGGATAAATCATTGAAAGACTATAAACTATTGTTTGATAAAGTTGACTTTGAGTTGGTGAGAGTACGTACGACTGTGGTTTGGATGTGCATGTGGCTGAGCGAGATTACTACTTAGTCCGAGTTTCAATTTGACAGGTAGTTGTTTTATATGCTCGCCACGTGCTAGAGCTATAGGAGTTAGTTTGAATTCCTGCATTTCTGGGCTAAGTTTCTTTTACTTAGATCAATTCTTGCATTTTCTGGGATCATTTGTTATACTTGGCGTTGTATAAATTTTGGTAAGCTACTTTCTCTACGGGAAGCGTTGCCGAAATTTCTGCAAATCCAAGGAGTTAGTCAAAATTTGACTTTCCGAAGTTCAACTTGTCTAATTTTTATATATGGCTTAGTAAAAACCTGGAAAGTCTTCTTTTCTAAAGGGAGTGTTGCCCAAATTTTTGCTAATTTAGGGAGTTAAACAGAATTTGACTTTGAAAAGTTGAAGATTATTTCTGTTTTCATATTGAAATGGGCGGCGCGCCTTCTGAAAGGGAAGGTTTGCACCTCCCGTGACTCGTCTAGTGCAGATCCAGCCAACGGTATGGGCAACGTGTTAATCAAAACGTAAGTTACCAACCGTGCTGCTTGTCTCCGATCATTTCGTGCGACAGGCTGAGTAATGCACCGGTCAACAGGCAAGTTTTTCAACCGGATTCATATTGTCTTACACGACAGGATGAGCAGCGTGTCAATCAGTAGGTGAGTTCGTAAACCCTGCGGCTCACCTGCAGCCACTCCTCTTAGCTCGGTAGGCATCTCTTTGGC